GGCATCAGGGGTTCCCATGAGCCCCCCAGGCTTGGGAATATTCTGTTAGAAAGAGGACACAAACTTATCAAGGTGAGGCAGAAGATAGTCAGGAAGGAGAAAACTCTGGAGATGCCCTAGGGCTAAGGTAAAGGACATCAATAAAGGACAGAGACCTTGTTCTAAGACCAGTTGTTCCTGCTTTCTAGAAAAACACTGAATCATGGTGAATCATGAATACACCTGAGCAGCAGATATATAATGACTTCTGCTTCATTATAATAGCATTATAATAAATTAACATTGTGTGAGCCCCCTTCTCAGGTGGCCAATCAAGGTAAATCATGGGAGGCCACATGCACAGTAGCTTTCAAGTAATATAAATACTTGTACATGTGCAATAAAAGCCTGCCCAAACTAGCCAGGAAATATCTGCCCTGTAAGAACAGAATTCCTCCAGCACCAGAGGGCAATCTCTGCTCAGAGTTGGCTTGCTCCCATGTTCTTAATAAATCTGCTGTCTTTTTGATATAAATTCTCTGTGTGTTTGGTTCTTTGTCCTCAGTCACCAAGAACCTGGTTACCTGTGCCCACCTGTGACAAAGGGATGCTACCTGGGATGAGTGAGACCAAAGGAACAAGTCCTAAGAAGTGGACAGAGAGCGGAACACATGGAAGACATCAAAGTGTCTGCAGAGGGGAACCCATGGGACCATCCACTAAGCAGTTTCTGCAGATGTTTCCCAGGATGATCCTACTCTTAGGCCCAGGACTGTAAATGGAGGAAACCTCAGATGGAGTAGCAACTTTTGCATTCCCTGATGGGATGGACCTGCTGCCTGGGGCTGAGATCCAGAGATTCTCTAGGGAGTTGAGAAGCTTGGCATTATCCCAATGACAAATCCTGTCAGGGGCCAACTGTACCTAAGTTCCCTCCTCTTGAGTCTGTCTCTCAACCCCCTTGCCTAGAGCTGCTCAAATTGGGATTCATTCCTCTCTTGCATCTCCAGGCACCTGGAGCCTTGGAGCATTAGGTACATGTTTCCCCACTCCTCTCCCACCCCTCCCAATTTTGAGCTGGTCTCAGCAATTCTTATCCTCTGGAAAATACACACAGAAAATAGAGTAAGTGGCAAATAGGTGGGAGGACAGAGTTCGCATCCTAATACCTGCTTTTCCAGAGCCAGCATCAATAGATTATATGAACTGCGTGTTCACAAACTGTCACTTCGGTTTTTCTCTGGGATACCCTGATGCCAACTCCCTCCATGTGTCCACTGCCCCCACCCACACAAAGAAACACTGAATCACACAGCATTGTGCAGGGAGCTTGGGGAGAGGGGACTCGTGTTCAGGAGGCAGGGGAAGCAGGAAGGTCCCAGGCATTTCCTGTACCAGGATCCAGTCTCAGCCACCATCTGCAGAAGCCATTTATGAGCCTCACACCCACTTCCTCCTTACCTATCTCCTCTGCCATCAACTACCATTTCTCTCCATGTGTGCCTCCCACAGGATGACTTACTGCTTCTTGAGCTCCTGGAGAAAAGATACACCCAGCTAAGATGCTTGTGATTGCCTGCAGTATTATTTCCTTTACCAATAAATGCTGTAATTCTGGTCACCTGAGACTAGTTTTCAGGCTAGTGTGGCACAGGGAGACAGCCACACACCCACCCTAACATCTTACTATTCATTCCTTAGCGGTCTGTGGATCATCAGGTGTGCATGTACTTCCCCATCTCTTTGTCTCTTTTTGTCCCTTTTCCATGGGATACATCTCTGGGCCAGCCCAAGGGTGAGCATGGTCACATGACCCACTGTCAGCCTACACGACCCCCTATCTGCCTGCATATGACCATGCAGTGTGTTGGCTACATCCCTGAAGCACCAAAGAGCATAATTTTCTGCCTCTGGGGTTGAGCTGCTTGCTAGCAGAACCTGCAGCTCCTGACCAAGATGAAGATAGAGAGCTGACAGAAGGCTGGATTTGGAACCAAAGCTTCCAGCCCAAGGCCAGGGCCTTGTTCTATGGGAGTCCAGGGCTGCAAGAAACACCGAACCAGGAGTTTGGAGATGAAGTGACATTGCATATTCTGTCTAAAACTCAGAGTGACATGTTAAACAGACACAAGGGATCTGTCCTGAAAAATATTGCTAGGCAAAATAAATATTCAGACTCCAGTTTCCACTACCAGTGTGATTCCTGTTAACACTTATGGTTGGTTTTTGAAGGGAGGCAAAACTGCCACTTTGCCTTATTTCCATAAACCAGTGATTTTCAACTAGTGTGCTGCAAGAATTTTTAAAGCAAACAATACCTGACTATTTAGTCAGGGGCACTGACCTATTTTCTCTTATATTGTCAAATTAAAAAAATGACAACTGCCAACACAATAGGTATCTGGTGTGAATGAATCAAAATTATACCTATTTTTTGTCAGATCAGCAAAAAAGATATTTTTGGTGTGCTGCAGAATTTTAGTAAATAGTTTATGTGTGCCATGAGATGAAAAAGATTGAAAATCACTGTCATAAACCTTGCATATTATAATGAGAAAAAAGCATGTTGCACTGTTAGAAAAATTACTCAAAACTTGAGTAAAGACAACATAGGTTACTGGATATTATTTCAGTGCAAGGCTAGGCTTCATTTCTTTTGATTGAGCATGTTTTCCATTCTGAGAGGCTGATGTTAACCTATATTTTGTCCAATAGACATGAAAATGATTTCCATTCAGTGAAACAGGTAACATCAATGACTATAATTTATTGCCCTTAAGATATTTTCATTTTGTAGTTAACCCAGCAATGTTATCCTAATGTTTTCTATGCATGTATAAAATTTAACATACTATATTATTATATTGTTTTTTGTTTTTATATTTTAAATGAGATAACATACTCGTCTCATTTACATACTTAGTTCTTTATTGTGTTGAAAAATCTTTCATGTGTTCATTTCTAACTTATAAGTCATAATTTAACCTTTTCAAAAATTAACATCATCCTCAGATAAAACAGAAACATTTCCCCCATAACTAAAAATAAAATATGTTTCTCACATGTCTGGACTCCCTGTCCAAACCAATTCTATCCCTGACTTCTGCAATTTCTATCTGAAGGTATGGTATGATCTTTTTTTTTTTTACTTATTATTGTGGAAATTACACATAATATAAAATCACCTTTTAGTGAACTCAGTGGCATTAAGTATATTCACAATATTGTGCAACCATCACTGCTATCTGCTTCCAGAACTTTGCTGTCACTCCAAAAGGAAATGTTCTTTTGAATGTAAGTTATGTAAAAAAGTTGCAATCCTCCCTGACTGGCGTGGCTCAGTGGACTGAGTGATGGACTGCCAAGTAATGGGTTCTGGGTTTGATTCCCAGTCTAGGGCACATGCCTGGGTTGTGGGCAAGGTCCCCAGTAGGGGGCGCACCAGAGGCAAGCACACATTGTTGTTTCTCTCCCTTTCTCTCTCCCTTTTCCCCTTTAAAAATAAAATCTTTTTAAAAATGTTGCAATTTTTGTACAGTCAAGAGACTAATATAAACTCAGCAACCTTGATAACTTCTTTTTCTTTAAAGTATTTCAATTAAAAAGCTAGTTTTTCTTAAATCTCATGGGGCCTACTTTTCTTTCCAACTTATTCTAAGCGATTCTCTCTGAAAATTTCTTGTAACACATATAGTTTATTCATTTATATAGCTATCTTTTCCAACATGTCTACCTGTAACTTAAGGCATTAGAAAAATATTTTATCTTAAAAATCCTTGTCTTGTTTCCCTGATGTGTCTCTGAAATGTTTTGTTTTTTTTGCATTGTAGATTTTATTCCAGACTATGGAATAGATGAAATTTCTTAAAAAGTCATTTTAACAAATACCATATTATCTCACCTTTAACAGGAAGGTAAACAACAAAACAAACAAGCAAACAGAATAAAAACAAAGACGCTGAAATAGAGAACAAGTGGGCAGCAACCAGAGGGGAGAGGGAAGGGAACTTAAGGGGAAAAAGGGGGAGGGATTTTGAGGAACAAGTATGAAAGACACAGGGATGAGGACTGGGGGGGATGGGAGGGAAGTGGGGAGACGGGGCAGGGGGGGCTGGGATGGGAGAAATAGACAAAAAACTGTACTTGAAAAAAAAGTCATTTTGAAATTGCATAGAAGTTTTCTACTCACACACAAACTTTAAAATGGTATCAATTTTCCTTTCTTAAAAAAAATTATTTTTAGAGAAAGGGGTAGAGAGGGAGAAAGGGAGAGAAACATCAATGTATGGTTGCCTCTCAAGCACCCTGTACTAGAGACCTGGCCCACGACCAGGAATAGAACAGGTGACCCTATGGTTCACAGGCTGGCACTCAGTCCATGGGCCACATCAGCCAGGGCTCAATTTTCCCATAGATGATAATATTCTTCTCTATTTTACCAGACATAAAAGCATGTGCCACTTCATGCCAATAAATAGATCATTTTAAATAGATGCATTGTATTTATTTAATACTTATACTTGCCTTGGACTAGGATCACACGAAAAAATCTTAGAAACTTCTGACTCCATTTAATTGGTGTGCTATCCTATTATTTCATTTTTTTTGGTGGCACTGAAGCAATATCTGCATTTTGAGTTGTAAAATTGGCTGATTTAGTTCTCCAAACTGCCCTCATTCTAACCACATCCCTCAATGAAACTTGTTTCACCTATTCCAGGCAGACAGGATACATCCAGGTTACTAAACAGATTTTCCAATTACACACTTTTCTTCCTACCACTGCTGCTCACTTACAAGAATGACCTAGGGTTTGTCTTATCCTACCCTTCAGTGACCAATTTAAGTGGGTCCCTTTTCTCTGAACATTTTTTCAAGTACCACAGCCCTCAGTAATCTCTTTAAACTCCAGGAATAGAATTTTCCAATGAGGGTATGTCTACCATACTTCTAATTATCTACGTTGGTAAGCATGCACAATGAATCTGCACCTGGATTTTAAATTGAAGGATCACTTCTGCCAATTTTCACACAGAACTTTATTGAAAATACACTCAAATACAGAACCACATGTTTAAACAACAAAAAGCAGTGTAGTTTACATAGGTAACTCAGTTCACTGGACACTCAATACTGAAAAATACTGCAATCTGGACAGCAAGACAAATATGAACAAATGATGTTTTCCGCTCTAATATTCATTTGGCATCCACAAAATGATCCAGCTCAAGCCAAGAATTGGACAAAGTTAACAGCATAAAAATATAAGTTACAACATACCATCAGACTGAAAACCAAAGCACTACTCAGGGCTTTTGGGGAACATAAGGCTGATCACAGACAGGTCAAACATATTAGTTTGGTTGCCCCCCCTCAGGATCGTTTTGATTGTCTATTTGGGTTTGTAGTTCCTTAGCCAAGCTCTCAAATTCGTGGAATGCAGAAATAAGCGGCTCAAGACTGAAATCTTCATCAACTGAGGCCATTGTTCCATTTGTTATGATGTTACTGATATTTTGAAACATTTTAATAACAATTTGAATATTATCATGTGACTCTTCCAAGTTAAAAAGACCCACAAATACCGATAGAGCTTTAGCACTGAATAGCTTCTTTGCCACCACAGGATTTTCAGACAAGTTCAACAGCATTTTCAGAATGCAAAACTTCGTTGTTGCATCTCCTGTGACTAATAGGGTGAGAAACCCAGACATAAAATTGGCAACTAGTGTGTGATAGTCAGTAGTCATAGTAAGGTGCCTAAGCAGCCTTAATCCAAGCAGCTGCTCAGGGGAATCCACGCTTTGTGCAAGCGTTTCCTCACACACTTGACATATGAATGTTTCAATCATGTTTAGATTTGGATAAGGTGGAGCCATGAGAATCACATTTTCCAAAAACCTTGTCCGGACTCGGGAAGAGGGATAATTGAGCAAGGTTTCAATAAGTGAGACAACACCTGAATCCCGAATAAAATCTCGGGTAAATTGAGAAGCACTTCTCATACCCACTGCAATTTTAAATATTTCCTGAATAAAAGGATCTCGAACTTTTTCCATTAATAGGAGGAGTTCCTCAAACTCTCCAGAACTGATTTTAAGCTCACATTGTATACAGCTGCAGGACCAACTCTCAGGCTGTGCACTGTCCCTGGCCCTAAGATGATCCCGAATTTCCCTGACTGACCGGTAGGATGGTTCATACTGAAATGTGAATTGAGGTTCAGGCTGATTGGCCTCATCTTCACCTTCTGAGGTAAGCTCCCCATTTTGGGGCTTTCCCTCAAACATTTCAGCAAATGCAGCGGATGCTTCTTCGGTAATTCTAAAGGAGCTTGGGGATGGGAAGCCAATCCTATGACAAGGACCAGGTTTGAATTCAACAGTGACCTCCTCCCAGGTTTTGGGCCTGGATGATGCCTTAATTTCCTTCTCAGCTGAATCTCTGAATCTGGAACTAGCCCTGTACACAGGATTGGGATTTAGGTCAAAGCAGGCCTCATCCCTATCCCAGAACCAGGACCCAAATATGGCTTCTTCTTCAGACTCCTGCTTGATCTCTTCTCTGGCTACAGCCCCCAAATTGGACTCAGGCTCCTCAGTCCAGAACAAGGATCCACCAATAGCCCCCTCCTCAACCCCTGGGGTGGATTCACAGATGGCTGAAGCCCCAGCCTCTTCACCAGCCTCTTTCTCTGCCCAGAACCAGGACCCAATGATGATGTCCTCCTCAAACCTGGGGTCTGGTTTGACCCTATCACTGTTATTAACATCTTTCTGGGTCCTGGGCTTCAAGTCAGTATTAGGCTCCTCCTGATCTCTTGGCCTGAATCTACTACTGGCCTCTTCTCCAGGCAAAAACCAGGACTCCTTATAGTATTCATCTTCAGACTCAGATTCAAAAAAGTCCTCTCTCTTTGTTCCAAGCTTGGACCTAATATTTGCCTCATCCCTAACTCTGGGTCTGAACAAGTTATTGGTATTTTCTCCAGGCCACAAGCAGAATGGATTGCTAGACTCCTCCTCAGACCCAGACCAGGAATCAATATAGGGATCTTGTTTGGATCCAGGCCTGGACTGGAGGTTAGGCTGATGCTTAGCCCTGTGCCTGGATCTGGTATTGGCCTCTTCCCTGGGCCATGATCTAACACTGGCCTCTTCTCCAGCCCAGAGAGAAGAAATAGTAGAGGTCTCATCTGCTGACCAGAATCCAGATTCGTTAGAAGCTTCCTCTCTGGCCCTGAGCCTGGCATAACACCAAGATTCTGTATTAGTTTCATCCCCTGATCCAAACCAGGATTGAATTCCTGACTGAACCTGGGAACCAGGAAAGGTCTCAACCTCTACATTTACCAGTTCTTTATCTACAGCCGTGGCTGAAGGTTTAGCAACTGATTCAGACTCCATACTGACCAGTGGCCAGGCAGTTGCATTGGTCTGGGGCACGCCCTCTGTTTGGGACATTGCCTCGGCCCCGAGCTCAGTCTGTGCTGAAGCCTCGGCTTCATCTTTGGGCCTTGCCCCAGGGATTGCCTTGGCCTCAGTTTTAGGGCATGCCCCACCTATTGCCCTGGCCTCAGATTTGGGCCTTGTCCTAGCCATTGCCTGAAATTCAGTTTTGGGCCTTGCCCCAGCCACTGCCTGGGCCTCAATTCTGGGCCTTGCCCCACCCATTAGTTGGAAATCGGTTTTGGGTCTTGCCCCAGCCATTACCTGGGACTCAGTTTTGGGCCTTGTCCCATTCATAGCCTTTGACTCAGTTTTGGGCCTTGCCCCAGGCACAGTCTGGGCCTGGGTCCTAACCTTGGGTCTAACCACCATCGGGATGTCATTCTCTCTCTCAGCCCCACCTCCAGCCTCTTCTCCAGCCTTCTTTCCAGGCTTGGCCTGGACACCAGGTTCAATCTCAGCCCCAGTCATAGTACCAGTTACAGAAAAGACACAGTTAAACACTAGTAACACAGTCTCAGCCTCTACCACTGAAGAGTCACAGTTTTGTATCTTCACACTCTGATCTTTCAGTGATTCAGTTGGAAAAGAGTCAATCACCAGTCCAGCAGTTAATCAGCCTCTGTCCTAAGACCAGCCTCAGCCAATATTACAGGCAGAATGCAGAAGAGGCACAACCAAGCTGGAGGATGACAGACGGTTCCCAGGTGGGTGTTGATCTGTTGAGCGTGATGGTCAACAGTAACTGCAACACCACCAGAGCTGCCACTAGAGGTGGATCTAAGGAGAGAGAACGGCATGGGGCTTTGAGTCTCTTCCAATTGTGTCACTCCAAGCAGAGACTCACACAGAGCCTAGACCTTGAATTCTTGGTAGGGCTATAGGGCTGTTAGAAAGTATGTCACCCTTATTTACCCAGAGCTGCTACACACTTGGTCTACCACAAAATAGGTGTAAGATTGGTGAGAAAGTATGTTGGTAATGGGGCTAAGGAGCCCCCAGATTAGACCTTAATCACTCTTGGACCTGTGTTAGTCTCCATTACTCCATCCTAATTTGTGCCCACTCCCATACCAACCTGCTCTGACGTGGTGCAATATCCCCCTCCTTGCTTTGTTCCAGTTGTATTAAGCCCTACAGCAGACAGCAGGCTGTCCTACGGACAAATAAACATACAGGAGAAAATATGAGTCTGAGTACTTAGTTGACAGGCAGATGCCCTGACCTTTGACGCAAACATCTCTTTCTGTTTAAGGGTCAAATTTCTCTAACATTTCCTCTCTCCTGGTTCCTAACCTCAGGTTTGCTCCCATTTACAGCCCAATTCAAATCTACACAAATATTTCTAATACCTCCAGCAAGAAATGGATAAGGGAGGCTGGGGTAATGTGCAAATCTGGCAGAGGAGAAGAGGCAGATCACAAAGACTTGCCATGATTTTACTCTGTAACTGTCCCCTGTGTTGTCTGTCTTTGCACCAACCTGTAGAGAATTGATCCAATTTCTTTCTCCTTTCCTTCTTTGCAGAAAGTGACCAGCCTTAAAGTAAGCCTATAGACAGACAAAAGATCGAACAGAAGACCATTGTAAAAAACTGAGCACGTAGTGGACACACCAACACCAATCATGGGAGTCCAGAGTTTTCTTGGTTGAATACTCTCTTTTAATTAAGTCCCTCTGTGTCAGGATTCCAGATAACTGTATCTTTTCCTGACGTCATAACCTTCCCATTACTCCCTTTTCCAATTCTGAGTATTCACCACTAGGTGCACCTCATCCCTTCACCTTCTGCAGAACAACTTGGGGGATGGGTGCCCACATATTCTAGAAAACAGGTTGTGTGTAGTGATGCTTGGAATCATCAATCTGTTTCACCCAAGCTTCTGAACCCATCTTTTCCTGCCCCCAGTTTTGGCTGGAGAGAAGGCAAGAAGTCAAGGGAATTGCCAAGAAGCTGGTACACAGGGACATTTTAAGATTCCCGGATGCTTGCCATGTTATGGTCTCAGTCACCCCCCTATTTGGGTCTCCAGTCAATGGCTGCTGCCCACCAAGCCCCAACCCCTCACACCTCCAGAAATACACGCTATTTTCCTGCTCCAACTTTTTCTCAAGCCGCTCCTCTACAGGTGCGTCCTGCCGCCTGAAATCGCCAGACCTACTGCGCAGACAGGAGACTTGGGCATCAACGAGGTGCCTGTTGGAAGGGAGAGTACCCAGGACGCGGGGCCCAACAGGCCCCCCTTTCCAGAATCAGAGGCCGGAGTAGCCAACGCCAAGGCCCCCTCCTGGGCATTCCCTCCAGCCCAGCTCCCGCTCCGCCATTTCTCCCGCAGCAGCCCCCCTCCCCCACAGCCCTCTCCCAGTACAGACACGGTGGAAGGCGGGATGCGGGCGCCAGGGAAGATGGCTGGGAGAAGCCAGCGTGATTCGCTTCCCCGAAGGACCACGGGGAGCCTCTCTGGATACCCCAGGGCCCTGGGCCCGGCCCCCGCCAGTCGCCGCCTTCTCGTCGCCCGGCTCCCCTAGCGCTGCGCAGCTAACTAACCAGCTCCCACCGGCCGGGTCCCCTCCTCCTCGCCAGGCTGCAAGGGCCTGGGCGCGGGCTGTAAACGGGTGGGGGGTGGGGCACCGGGGCACCGGGGCCCCACCCCCCGCCCCCCACCATAGCCCCATCTGCCTTTGCAGGCTCACGGCCGGAGTGGTCCTCTCCCCTCCTCTCGGAGCTCCTCACCAGCTTTCCACCGCCCTCCGTGCGCTTCGAATTGCAGTGTGGCCTCCCGCCCCGCCACGCACCTCTCCGGCCCACCGCTGCACCAAAACACGCAGGTGTTGGGTAGGGGTTGCGCAGGATGCGACACGAAGCACTGGCAGCCAAGGCGTCGCGAAGAGGGGCGGAGGGATACGTCAGTAATGGGCCGACGCCCCCTCCCAGCCCACTGTAGTTCCGACCAGAGGAGGCGGGGCCGGGACCCAGGCTGGGGGCGGGAGGAACCCCAGCCTATCTTTGCGGACCTACGCACACCCCCTCCCTGGCGATCACCCTCACATTCTCGGCACTGCAATCTATGGGACCGGCGGGCTGGGTTCGGGGTTCGGGATCGGGAGGTCAGAAGCAGCTGCGCCTTAGCAGCGGTCAGACGACCGCTGCTGCCTTAGCAGCGGATGGATACAAACCGCCCCTTGGTGCCTGTGAATCGCCAGACTCCCCCCCCCCCCTCTGCCTACCTCCCCTTCCCCCATCCCACCCGCCATCCTTCCTGGACGCAGACGGGGGAGGGGCTGTGAGGAATGCGCGCTGGGAGAGCAGAGGCGCGTTCCCAAGCCAGACCACCCCAGACGTCCTGGGATAGCCCCCAAGGTTTTCTTTTATTGTTCACGGGTGAGGGAGGGAAGGAAGTCTGGAGGGGGCTGCCATGGAGACCTCATGGAGGGCAGACCTAGGTCACTAACTCTGGGAAACAGTCCACTGCTCTGCGCCCAGAGTCATTCTTTCTGTCTCACTGCTTTTTCTCTCTTTCGCAATGGTTACCCATGTGGCCGTTTTGCGGTCCCCACAGTTGTCCAAGAGTTCCTTTCCCTGTCGGGACCCACACTGGTCCTGCAATCCTCCTTGTCTTGTCGCCCCACAGCCAAGTGTCAAACAGCAGATAGGGCAGGTCCTGGCTTCTCTTCCTCTGTTCTGTCTAGTCTCCTGCAGTCACATCCAAGCTCTCATGATGTTTGGCTCTCTGGAAATGTGGCAGGGATTAGAACCAGCTTGGACCTCAGCACTTCCCATACACACCTGTCTAGTTTGTCCAGTCATTCTTTGGGGAAGGTCCCAGCGTAAGCACACTTCCCAAGAGAGAAACCTGGCAGTTCTTGAATCCTTTGGTTCCTTCACCCCTACATACTTCCTCTAGTGTTGAGTCCTACTTCTGTGCCATGAACAAACAGCACAATCGTGGTTAGGAACACCTGTGGTTGAACACAAACCTGTTGGCATAGTTCTCCTTTTAAAACCCAATTAAACAGCATCTCCCACAGGGCTAAGTTGAATGAATGTCCTCAAAAGGTGTCCACATTTAGGCCCTGGCTGGTGTAGCTCAGTGGATTGAGAGTGGGCCTGCAAATCAGACAATCGCGGTTTGATTCCCAGTCAGGGCACATACCGGGGTTGCAAGCCAGTTCCCTGCAGGCCAGTTCCCTGCAGGCCAGTTCCCAGTAGGGGACGCAGTAGGGGACGCACGAAAGGCAACAGTACATTGATGTTTCTCTCCCTCTCTCCTTCCCTTCCCCTCTAAAGATAAATAAATAAAATCTTTAAAAAAAGGTGCCCACATTTAATTCTCTAGAACCTGTAAATATATGATGTCACAATGCAAAGGACAGTTAAGGTTGCTGAGGGAATTAATATTGCTATATAGTCAAATTTTAAGATTAAGGATATGCTGGATTATCCTGGCCAATGCGATTGTGATACAGGGTGTGGCCAAGAGGGGGGCCCAAAAAAAGATTTGGAATGTTGTCCAGAACTCAGAGGGTATAGGAATATTGGAGAGACATATAAGATATCCTCACCCCTTCCCCCTCAGGTGTGAGTTGGGGGAATGGACACATGGAGCAGGAACATGCAGGGCTCTTTTGTACAGCCACAGCCTTGCAGCTAATCCATGACTAGGACATTTAACATATCTATAGCCTTTGGCAGGCCACTTGGATATGTTAAATGGCTGTGGCCAGGCTTGGAGCTAGGGGGATGAAGTCACTTCCCCCCAAGATGTAACTGGGGGGCAGGTCCCTGGAGTTACAGCGCCTGCGTGGGAGCTTGGAGAAGACTGGCTCCATGACATGGGGCGATACCTGCCCAGACTCACGATGGCAGCCCAGTAAACTTGTAATAATACAGAAATATTGGCAGGTATAACTGATCGTGGGAGGAGTCGGAAATAGGGGTACAGAGGAAGATTGGTGCAGGGATTTAAACCCAGACACGGCAGCCATTGAAGAGAGTCGTGTGATTTTTGGCAGAGTGAGGACCCCCTCTTGGCGAGGTGAAAGAGGGAGCCACGCGGTTTTGGCAGAGTGCAGACCCCCTCTTTCCCAGGTGAAAGGGAAAACCATGCAGCTTTGCCAGAGTGGAGATCCCTGCAGCCAGGTGAAGAAGAAAGACACGCACTTTTGGTGGAGTGCGGACCCCTGCAGCTTTGGTAGAAGAGACCCACACAGCTTTGGGGTGCTCCCTTTGGCCGTGTGGCCTGGAAAGCAGGAGAGACTTTGACTGGAAAAAATGGTACAAAGAACTCTTGCCAGTGGAAGATGCCACATGACTTTGGATTAATTGGAGATCCTGCCTGGACGTCAACACAGCTGGCGGTACCAGTAGCCTGGAAAAACGGGCGTGTGCTCTTTTCCTGATTTGGGGTACCCAGAGTTAGGACAGGGGGAGAAGGGAGCTCTGTGTGTGTGTGTGTGTGTGTGTAGGTGTATACCCTAAAGGACTTTGATATTTTAATGAAGGCATTAGGTCTGAATAGCATTAAATAAACATTTCGTTTCCTTTTCATGAGTCTCTGGCATTGAGAAATGTCTTTCTAATTGGCCATGGAAGATCGGGCCAGTAGGGGTGTCCGGACGGTATTAGTATACCATCCTCTGGAGTCCAGGGCTCCGGTGTATCTGTTCTTTAACAATTTTTTTGGCATCCCTGGGTGGGCCAAATATTGCTCCCCCTTGGACCTCTGCTCTGTAATAGTTGCAAAGGTACCTTAAATGTGGAAGAGTTAGTGTCACAGGGAAGTAGTAGGAGAAAGACTACAGTCCAACAGGCCCTTGCTGGTTTTGAAGATGAAAGGAAGCCAGGGGCCAAGGAATGCAGGCAGCTCCCAGAAGATGGAAAAGCGAGGAGACAGATTTTCCCTATAACCCCTTGGAGGAATGAACCCTAACATCACCTTTATTTTAGACCAGTAAGACCTTTTGGTATTTCCAAACACCAGTACTGTAAGATCATGAATTTTCGTTATTTTTAAGCCACCAAGGCTATGGTAATTTGATACAGCTGCACTAGGAGCCAAATTCACTGACCATCCTGATAAAACCTATTTCCCTTGACTTTCTTTTCTTGGGCCTCAGTCTTGGGAGGATCAGTATTGAGGTTCACCTCTTACCACT